TGTATGACAATGAAGCACCATCCATAGCACTGTGAAAAACTGGTTTAATGAATTGAGCCGACATTTGCTCAACGACGAATTCCGTGAAGGTCGTCCAAAAAAGATCGTTGTGCCAGAGAACATTAATCCCGTGCGTGAACTGATAATGCAAGATCGTCATGTGACATACTGTGAGATAGAGGCATCCTTGGGCATTTCTCCCACCAGCATACATTCGATATTGCATGAACACCTGGCCGTAAAAAAGGTAAGTTCTCGTTGGATCCCGCACAATTTGACAATCGCTTAAAAAAAGACTCGTGTCGATTGGTGCAAAGAAATGTTGAAAAAATACGTTCGCGGTGCTTAAAAGATGTTTGTAAGATCGTCACAGGTGACGAATCATAGATCTATGCGTATGAGCCCGAAACAAAACAACAATTGATGGGTCATCTGCCGTATAGCCCTGACTTGGCACTATAAATAACCCTGACTATAAATAAATGACTACAATAAAACAATTTTTGATGATAAATATTCGCATTTTCATTATTAGGCCAGAAATATATATAGCAGCCCTCGTATAAACGAAACTCGTTCACTTTTACAGCATGTGTTCACATGTGTTCGTCTTATTATTTTTATACAATAATTGACTTACATAAGGTATAAAAAATATTAAAAGAATAAATTTAAAGCTCTCTAGCTCTCGTCTGCGCAATTAGAAAATATTAATGTGTTTTAAGTCTAAACCTTTAAATGTAACTCTGTAAGTGACACTAAAAAATTATAGAATAGTTGTAGAAAAAAATGTCTAAAATCAAAATGATTGCATTTCAGTATGTTGAAGTGCAAATCAATAAAAAACTAAAAATTCTTTAATGGAACTTTCCATCATTTGATTTGGAAGTCAAAAGTATTCGAAAAATTTCTAAAATTGCATCCAATACCAAAACCATCCCATTTCTTACATTCAAACACAAATCCCTTGCAAATATTCCCATCAATAAAAATGAAAATAAATCTTTGTGTAGACGCAAAAATTCTAGATCTCCGCAAAAAATGTACTTATATTTGCCAAACTCTCAGCACGAAGTTTTCGATTCTCCTGCGGGTTATAAGGATATAAATGGATGCATCGTTGCAAGCAATCATGTGTGGAAAGCAAAAGTAATAAAATGCAAGCATAAAAATATTTACTTTGTAGGAAGAATCATGCAAGGATGAATAATGCAATTGAAGGTTGCAGGTGGTGACGATAGCGATGGCGATGGCATCTTGCTTAGTTTCATATGGAAGTTTTGGGAGACAAGACAAGTATGAGAAATTTTCTTGCAGAAGACAAGTTGTGATGAAGATAAATGTGAAGATTTTGTGTTTGCATAAACCCAAATAATATTTCACGTAGCATAAAAATCGCAAAGGGTTCGATTAAAATTGCTCGAATATTTTTCAATAATTTCAAAATTTCTGCGAACGATATACCTAAGTTCTCTAAATGTTATTGATGCTTTATTTTGCAATTTTAAATATTTTATGAAAAAATTACATTTTTGAATGAAATAAAAATATACAGTAAAATGCAGATAAATATTAGATATGGGAAATAAATACATTATAAATTGATATTTGGGAAAACGAAATCTAAATAAGAAGTCATTTTATGTAATTTCTCAATCGAAAACGTATTGCACCAGAAAAATGCTAAAAGGTTTTTAAAAGGGTTTAAAAGGGTTGTTAAAACATTTAAAATATTTCATAAGAATCGGTAAGAATTGGTGCTAATGGAGCGGATCGATGCTTAAGAAACCTCGATATATATAGCGTATTATTGTATAAATATATGACAAAAAACAATTTGAAACAGAGAGGAAAAGGTAATGAATTACAACAACAACATGTATGTAACCCTGTATTTGACTTATATGATTTATACTTGAAGTTTTTTTAATCATTGTTAATTATAATTATTGGACATTAAAAATATTAAATTACAATCAAATTAGAATCCTGTCAGATTGGAATCACATAAATACGTTTTGAACACCTGAAGTAATTATTGAAACATGATGTTTTGTTCATATTAGAAAAAACGTGTAAACCACAGCTATACATTTAAATGCAATTAACTATTATAGTTGTTATTTTTACGTATTTTTTTTTTTATACACTTATTGTGTACACCTCAATTTTTGAGAACCTATTTTATATAATTAGTTGTAATTGTTATAATATAAAAAAAATAATTTCAGTAAATTGAAAGTATTTACTGAATCTTCTCACTTATAGGCTAACAATAAGAATTTACAGGTCTCTACTTTATTATAATTAAGCTGGGAATAATAAAACGGCACAAATGCAATAAATATGTTGCTTAGGGTTAACTGTTCTTATTGGAAGAAGAGGTAGAAGAGTCGAAGAAAAAGTGAATGGGAATAATGACGAAAAAAATGTATAATAATGTAAGTTGAAATTTGGTTTATGGTAAAGCGGTCCGATGATTTTAGGTGAGGGTGTATCGTCATAAAAGTAAGTTCTGTGGCTAAAAGATCGAAGTCAACATATAGTTTTCCAATTTATTTTTGTCTATTTTTTGCGAATTCCAGAAACACGTAAGGATCTTCATGGGTTTTTTTAATTTCTATGTATCATGGTTCTCAGCTAATCATTTTTGATATATTTGACTGAAGTCTTTACAGAATATTAATGTTTAAAGCACTTAGTAATGTCGAAATGGTCGTTTTTCTCAAGATCATATGTTCAAAATAGTTCAATCATTGTGTTATAAGGTGTTATATTCTTAGTTTAATAGGGATTATCTAGTGAGAAATCAGAACAACTTAATAACTTGAAGTTTGATTTTCCTTGCAAATCTTCTTCTTCTTACATCAAGTAATATCAGTAGTTGGAAAAGCTACGTTTGTATGTTTTTGAATCATTTTAGGGAATAGTGCTTCAAATATGTTAAACAAATACAAAATGAACTTACAATATTACTGTATAAATGTTTATTCTGGATTGCAGATAAAATAAACCCATTGAAATTTCGCCAGATGAATTTTAGTTGTGTTCAACTAAAACTTGAAATAATAAGTGAACTCTTCAGTTTTCTTAAAATCACATTACAAATTGCTCTTGGTATTGAAATTCTCTTCATTTTATTATTTTTAAATTTGCTGTTGTTTATTCAGTGGTTTCGACATTTTCCGTTTGTATTTCTTAAACGAAATTTTATTGCAGAACTCTTAAATTTTGTTAATTTAACGCAGTACGACGCGTTGCCACCGAAACTAATCAAAACAAGAAACCAGAACGGATACAGAAAATCCAACAGACGGAAGAGTCTACAAAAGCACGACCGTCGACGGCCTTTAGCACTTTTAGTTTGTGATTTGTGAAGAAGTGTTTGATTTGAAAATTTCGTTATTTTAGTTGATTTAATAAAAATAATGTAATAAGCAATTTATTTGCAATTCAGCTTTTTGGCAAGAAGTGCATTTTGAAAAATTTTTTTTTCGTAGAAAGGAAACGTTCTCAACTAAATGTGATCTCAAGACATAAGTTCTTAGTTGAAGAAACAGTATACTTTTAGGATGGTAAATAGTAATAGGGTGCTATTATTAGCAATACTAAGTTAGAAAAGTGAAACTTTACTAGAAACAAATAAACTTTAAATTCTATCAAGACCAATATCTTAAAAGTGATTAATTTAAAATGCTAGTCGCACTCCAAAAAATGAAGCCAGCTCTATTTATTATTTATCCTTTTCTCATTCTTGTAGGCAAATTTTTTTATTTTATCTATTATTATCTATCTCTATTTCATCTATTATTATCTATCTCTATTTTATCTTGTTTTATTATCTATTTTTATTTATCTATAATGCATCCTACTTCCATATTAAAGCAATTTTTTTTACACAAGAAAATATTTTGAAATGATAATACGAAAATTAAATTACATTGTGTCAACTTGGTAATCCGGATACCCAGAAACGGAGTAGGGTGGTACAGAAACAACTGTATTGCCGATTATACAATAAATGATGCATAAATAATAAGTTACGTTCCCTCAATAATTCGGATAAAAATTTTTTTTATATATCATTTTTGGTTCAGTTCTTGGGTGGTTGTATTGGTAGGCCATCAGAAAACTTCCATGTACCTCATTTACCTGTTTTTCGCCATTTTGCTACCACATTGCTCGCAAGAAACCCTAAGATAGCCGAATATGGACTAAATTCAATTTATCAAATTTTAATAATTTAATAGATCTTCCGTCTTTACTGATGAGCAGTCTGATAAACTGTTAAAGAAATACCTTTCTACAAGCCTATTTCTTCTAGACGCCAAATACGAGCATTCACAGAGAAAGTGCTTTTTGATTTCTCTTTCGTGCTGGTTCCTACAACTTTTGTAGTGAGGATTATGAGGAAGAAAGAAAGGACCAGAAAGAATTGCTTTCTGTTCTTATTATTGATGTACCGATGTGTTAACACATCATTTAAAACGTTGTACTTAACAAAATATTTAGGTTCTGTCCATCGTTTTTATAGTAGAATAGTGTATTTTATTTGTACTACTTTATTTGATATCATATTAATTAGATATATGTTCATCATACCTATGTTGAGATAATACTTATGGTTTTTAAAAAATTTTTGGGACTTGTACTAAGTTATTGTAATAATAATTGTAATTATTTAATGACGACATCGACAAAATCTTAAATATTATTACACTGTTCTTAATAAACAAAATCGCAATTTTGAAAGCGATACTATAATGTCTTGCTAATATATTTGATTATAAAAATAAAATATCAAATGGAAACTAAATCTAGCCATTTAACTATATATAGATATTGAATAGAATATGTGTCATATATTTGTTGAAATAAATAAAACCACAATTTTGGCTTTAACATCCATTTTTTTTTTTGAAAACAAAATTTTGTTTTCCAACTTAAAAAATATTTAAAAAAACGAATATATAGATATATAATAATATATATGTACTCACATTTATAAAAGCTCGAGCGATGAAGAAGGTCACTTCTGCCTTGCACATGGCATCGAATTGCTGTAACGAAATCAAGTAGAATCGCATTTACATATAAATTATGTAATTTTGTAACAAAAAAAATTGTTTTTAAATCTTTAAATTTGTTGATAAAAATTTGTTAACCAGATTTCAGGCAGTAAAATGTATAAGTAAACACGTGTTTTTACCTAAACAACGCATGCAAATTGTGGTTAAATTCATTAAAGAAACTTTTCGACAGAGACAAAGCGCCGTGCTTAAACCACAAAATGCAAAAAGAAAGTTTCCAAGTGAAAGTTTATGCTGTGCAAACAACAGAAAAAAAAAAAAAAATAACAGTGGAAATGTCAACAAAGACAAGGAAGAAGGAGCAGACAAAATAGCAGAGCACAGTAAGGACAAAAAAGGATACAAAAAAGTTAACCACATTTGTAATAAATTATACATGAGCTAATTTTTTACACAAAAGTTTAAAACAATATCAAAATGACAACAAAGAATAAAAAAAAAAATAGAAAAAAGCAAAAAAAGTAAGATAAAATGAAATAGAAACAATAGACAATTGAGAAATTTGGTTGGAAAAATTGTTCCGCAAGTGAAACCAAAAAGAACTGCAGCGTATCGGTTCCAGCCATGAACATCGCTCTGATTCAATGAGAACTCTGATTCGTAGTTAGGATAAGGATTTGTAAACGTTTTCTTATTTATTTTTTACGACTTTAAATGGATTTATTAACTCTTTACACTACCAACACTTGTACATTTTTATTAAGCAAAGTACTGCCGTTACGCTATAGTTTGTTAAGCACTCTGAACAGAGTAACATCAAGTACTCTTCTACCTTATAAACCCTTTAGAAAGCTGCTTTGACGCCATACTTATGAGTGTTGTGTCCTACTTCCGCTTCCTTTTGCAGAGGTAGAGGCTACTGGCAATAGTCAAAGGCAATATTTGCTTTTCGGAAAATTTGCATTTTGTGTTTCTTTACACTTTTACATCCTCACCTTCTCTGTTATGTAAATTTTTTTTCTTACAAATTTCCTCGCTTACACTACACTTTTTATATGTACTCGCCCTTTACTCCTGGCCAGTGCTGCCAGTCTTTTGTTGACTTTCACTACTCAAAGTAAATTTTTGCTTAGAAAGAAAATATTTTTACTTTAATTTGAAACTGTTTTAGTTAAAAACTGCAATTTGAGTACCTTTTGAAAATAAATACTTAAGTATTGCATCATAAATTGGAAAAAGTGAAAATTGCATTGAAAAACACTCCCAAAAATTTTTATTAAAAGGGGATTGAGTTCGTATTGCTATTTTTTCGTAGTAAAAACGCATCGTTAAAAATCAACGATTTTTATTTCTACCGGTAAATGTAGCTAAAAAATTTAAATTCACTTTTGCATCCAAAATCAAATCAAAATTTTTCAAAGAAGTTTGAAATTTTATGAAATATTTTTTATATTGTGTATTGTTACTCGTATTTAAATAGCGCAAGTAAATTGAATTTAACAGAAATAAAGTTTGACAGAAGGGCTTTGAAATGCATTTGAATGCATTGGAACTTGTCAAAAATATTCGAAAGAAATTTAAAACCTTCATGATCGCATTAGTGAGACCCAACAAAAAACAAATTTTTTCGCCCTATTGTAATATCAAGGCAGACTTTATGAATATCAGGAAAAAATTCAGAAAAAAGACTACAATTCCAAACATCTAATCAAAAATCATTATAGCTATAATTTACCTATAATGTATATAATGAAATATGCACATTCAATATACTAAGTATTCATAATTCTTAAATGAAATCCAAAATCATCAATATTGTCCTTTTCAAAGTTCCATTTTGAAATTTTCAATATTTCCTATCCAGTTCAATAAAACTATGCGAGTACTGATTACAAGGGATCTCATAGAGTTCATATGAGATAACATAAATTCTCAGGGCAAAAGGACCTAGTAATCCAATTTCTTACTTTTAGTTAACTTTAAAATTAATTTTAGTGTTAACTCACAAATAAATAAATAAAATAAAAATAAGTTCTCATTACATATTGTGTATCGTATGATGATAAAAATATAACTTTCAACTTTTACTGCGAGAATCAATTTGAGAAACTGTCTTTGAAGTGGTAATTATAGTTTCGAGAATGGAAAAAATTTGCAAGAGACCAATTTGTTGCATTTTTTTGTCAAAACTCTTGCAAAAAGAGATATTTCTAAAAGCCATTTTTAAAATATAAATTTTAAAAAAAAAATTTTTCTAAATAAAATCATATTCCCATTACAAATTTGATTTGTTTTCCACGGATGTATATAAATATATGTTATACTCATGTTTTATATATGTCCTTTGTCAATGTTATATCCATTGACAAATTTCATATCACATATGAATACAATACCAAATTAAATATTTTCTAAAAAAAAAATAAAAAGAAATACAAAAATAGTTTATTTATAAAAATAAACAAATTGAAATAAACATATAACAAACGGATTAGCAAATTTCTAGCAATTTTTGATTAGCAAAAGCATAGTCAAAACTATGACGGAGAATTAATTTAGCTTAGCTCTTCACAGTGAAAGTATATAACAATCAGTACACTTCCTATGAAATCATCCCATGGAAAAAGCTAGATTTATTATTAAGTAATCTGCCAGAAAAAGAACACATCTTATAGAAAAGTTCAGTTGAAGAAGTTGTAATCGGTTGGAAAAAGTTATACTTCCTATTAAATTATTTGGTGAATGAAAATTTACTTCTTCCGAATAAACGGTTAAAAGCACTTATTCTTGTAATTTATTAGTTTGGTGAGAAAATTAATACTCTTCAGCAATATAATTAAGGTAATATAAGACAAGTTTTCGAATTGATTAACACTAACTAGAATAAAGGAAAATGTACCCAATCAGTGGAGCCCAAATGACTATTTCAAAAATTATACTTTAGCGGGAACTACACACAGTATACCCATCTAGTTACTACTACAGTGGAACACAACTATCCAACTAAAACGACGAGTGAAGAAAGAAGATTTAACATTAAGAAAACACTTTGACGAAATATTACCATCAGATAATTGAAAAAGCATAAGGAACGAAGTCAATCACCCTTGACATTGAGCCTACAGTCCGACGAAATTTTACCATTAGATAATTTAAGTAGCGTAAGGAACCAATACAATCATCTGTTTAAGCGAACAGTTTTTCAGTTAAAGACATATAATTGCAGTGTAAATTGTATTTAAAAACATAGATGTTATAAAAATTATAAAGCTGTAATAAACCACTGTGTCTTTCATGGTAACTGCGAGTATAAATTTGTTATAGAGAATGCAGATGGCCTGGTACGTCGACTGATACCTCGGCTACTAGTTTTGTTAGATCCAGTAGGTTAGCTTTTTCAATTTTCAGAGTAAGAATAAAAATACACAAGGTCTTAACTATTTTTCAAACACAATAATAAAATGTAAATAAGTGTATTAGATATAACAAAATGTATTTTTTTATCTGCATTTACTTGACCCTAACCCTATAACCTATAAAAAAAAAATTCATAAAAACTTGACATCTGTGTACAACTGTAGAAGTTTGCTAACAGAAATAGATTTACAATGACTGACCTATACTCAATATATGGTTTACATTGTGATCTAGGTATTTCAACTGCTATTAATGTGGAATTTTCATGCCCAGAGGATGCTCGGCACTGACGGTATCAATAAACTATACACTTGTGTTAGGCTGTATGTAAACCCTAAAACAAGTAGTTTTGTTACCATTCTTTTGTCTTTACTTAACATTTAAAGTTTGTTAAGTAGACAACTTTAAGAAACAATAAAAATTAATATGTATGAATGTGTAATGTATAAATTGCACATTGCATTTTTCATTGGTTAATCTGGATTCAATCTAAATTTACTCTCGATCTCTCGAATTTTGTTCCCCAATCGAACGTTTTTAGAGTAATCTATCATTTTTGTAGTTATGTTAGTAGGTATTTATGTTTTTCATATATCGAATCAAATCGCACTTTAACTATTAAATCATTTAAAATAGCTGTAAATCTCAGGGTAATCTTGCTACTCCGACAAAATATCTGAAGTTTTATAAATTATTCTCGAGTGTTATACGTTTCGCTCGAGATTTATCAACCAAAAATCAAAACTGCACTAAATGCGAATCTGGATTGAAAAAGTTACGCCTGATTTACCAATCGAAAACGGTATCAGTTAGTTGACACGAGACGCAAAACGACTGGTAGGTTCATTTTTAAATTTTACCAAGAATGAGGGTGTCAAAGGACAGCATAAACTAAAAACATATTACTATGTAAATCACTTTGTCATAAAGACAGTTCATTCAAATAGTTTTTAGAATACCACATTTAGTCTCTTATACGTTTTTTTACTTTTGATTTGCACTAAAATAGGTTTGGAACTTATGCATTATTTTTTAATAAGAAATTGTGATTTAATTATAAATTATATAAAATTAAGTTTTACTTATATTTTTCATAAGAGAAAAAATACACTGCATAAAATATTTAAATGTGATCTAAAGTAATATTAAATGACTTTATAAACTTCTATTTATATTGCGATATTATATCTAAATAAAGTATATAGAGTATAAATAAAGTAGTACAGAAACATAAAAAAAGACTCCATAAAAAAATACAATCCAAATGATATTGCTATAAAGACAGCTATTGCCATAAAAATACGATTCATTTATAAAAAGTTATATATGTCAATAAATTGGTTAGAAATTATATTGCTTTAAACGATAAAAGCGATTATAGTCATACCTAAAGAATCGGACTTCTTTTTAAATGAACTTTATTAAATTAATGCATGAAACGGAGAAATTCCGCTCAGCAATCAGTATTAAACTGACTCAATTAATGCAATATCTCCTTAAAGCATTTTATAGCTTAAACTTTATTCAAAAAATAAAAAAAGTGCTTTAAAAATCATTATTGATTAATATCATAGCTTTTTTTTTAAAGAATATTCCTTTGTATACTCGTATCGATTAAATGCCTTTCCGGGTGTTTTTTTTTGTGTTACATATCCCCCAATTTTTTTTTTGTAAATGCAATTTCAGTTAGTTAAATAAAAGTTTCAGTTAATTAAATGGAAAATTATAAAAAGGGAAAAAAAAATCTTTATAAAAATGTTAGTTATAAAAATTCAATGTCGTGGAACATAAAATTTGGATCTTTATAAGTACTAATATAATTCAGATAGATGGTTATATCACAATTTTATTTGTGTACGGTTTACTATTAAAGAGACAACAAAACTCACTTTCAGACTTATAATATAAGACAACTAAATATTTAAAAAACTAAGTTGCATCTGAAGAACTATCTTATGTGAAACTCATATGATACAGTCAGTAGACTAAATCCCTATGTCAAATTACTATGCATGAAGTCTCTAAAACTTGCCTTATAAAAAGTATTATTCGATTTATTTAAAAAATGAATTATGGTGTATTTATATTTAGATAAAAAATAGGTGAATATTTTTTTGTTTTCCTGATTAGTATGAGAAATATATGGCGTGTCTTAAAGTTTACAACACTTTCTAAATTTAAATAAGGTTTAATAAAATGTACTACCAAAAATATTAATTTTTTATATGTTGTTTGCATCATATCTAATTAAATAATTATTAATTTCTACTTAAAAAATATATTTTCGAAATAATATTATTTCGGGTTGATTGCATTATTGACAATAGAAGTATGCTTAATAAATTAATCAATATGCACTGTACTTACAGTGAAAATTCAGTAAATTTCATTTAAGTTAATTTTGAAATAAAATGAAACCATAAGAAAGTATCTTTTTATATTATATTCGTATAATGTTTTATATTTTACTTGTCCAATTTTATTTAAAATATATCAGTATGGTGTTATTTTTAGAAAGAATTAGATTTGAAAGAATAATTAAACAAATTAGTTAGATAGTTTCTTACTAAGTCAGTTTTTATTAGTTAAAGTTAATTGTACTTTTTCAAAAATTTTATAAAAATTGTATTTTATTTCATTATTATTCGTAACGAAAGTCACTACACTATTTGAGAACCCTAAATCGGTAAGTGTGGTTTCGTCTGGGTTGTTTTGAAGTTACTACTAGATGCTAAAAATTATTTCGGTATATATACGACCTATTATATTACTGTATGTGAAATATAAAAGAAGCTTTGACGTCCTTGAAACCATTTATTCTCATTCAATAGATGGTTTTGTACTATTTGTATATATAAACTTTCAAATTATAGTAATTAACTCTCAATAGACTTTGAAAACGTTTTGAATATACTAATAGTTGTAGTAATACGAGTAGTGTAGCCCTTATTTCACTTCATTTTAAATTTGTTGTAATACACAGAAATTTATAATAATTATATTATGTATATTTATCAAAGTCAAAGTAAAAAAACTGAACCGCGCATAGTAAATACAAAGTAAAATGTAAATGAATGCATAAGAGGTTATTACTCTTATGTAGAGGTTGGAAAAAAACCAAATACAAAGTCATCATTGCAATTTTATATTAGCAAATGGTAAAAGTAAAAAAAAAAATTAAAGAAATTTGAAGTGAAAAATAATATTTAGAAATGGATAAATGTGTGATTAAAGATTTGATTCAAATATCTTTTTTTAAACGATCTTCTGAAAAAAAGATTTTATTTCATAAAATGAATAGACCAACTCCAGATATGAAGAATTTGGTACCTGATGTAAAAATTATGAAATCAGTGGTAAGTCGCCGTTTTCCTACAGCTACAGCTTTATGGTAAATAAAAACCAGTGGATCACAGGCTGCGAACATTCAAATAAATTGTTTTGTTGGTCTTGTACGTTATTTACTTGAGGAAAGGACAAAACTCAGGAGTAGGGGGAATACGTGATAGTTAGAATTCTGGTTTGATCAAATTGTGAAAACCTTGTCAAAAAGCTGACGCCTCGCTAATTTATCATTACAAAAGTATATATTTACAGTATATTATATTGTCATTTTCTTCACTTTTAAATATTTGAATAAAATTGTTTTATAAACAATTATCTGTATTCTTCTAACCAGGTGTATCGCATGTTACCCTCATTTTATACAAAATACTATATTTAATAAACAATTTAGAATACAATGTAATTGATTAGGTGTTTCTTAACATACAATACTCGTACAACTCCAATGTGCTACATTTAACTGCCTTCTGTTAATATTTTTCCATCAAATTATTTGAAGTGTTTTATCGTTGATTGATTGTCAATATTGTTTGTCAATCGAACTGTCATTTATTCACCTTCCCTTTTGTAAATGAGCAAAATAAAGTGAAAATTAATGACATTTGGAATAATGTAACTGATACGAAATGAAAACTTTCCGATCAGGTGTCAAGTTTCTTGTTCGACATGAAAAACTTTTATTGTTTTTTGTTTTGTTTCTATGTTTTTGGTGAAAATTACCAAAGGAAATTTGAAACTACGTTCTACAGGCAATTTAAGTTTGAGTTTTAAGAAAATAACTAAAACTTTCACATACAAAATTTAAATGACAGCAGAAATTTTCTTAAATTTAAGGATATCACCGGCGGCACGAACATAAATTTTGAAGAACTTGTGAAACTTGCACCGTAGCTGGCAGACATTCTTCCTTTGCCAATGCAATTGCCTAGTAAAGGAATAATTGCAGTGCATGTAAGTTTCGTAGAATGAAATGTCAGGCGTTTTGGCATAAAAGTTGAGAAGTGAAATATTTTCAAGTTTTCGGATAATTCCCAACCGCACTTGTAGTTACATTTGTACCCGTACTTTCAAATTATTTAAATTTTTAAATTTTCTGCAAAAAATAAAATTTTCCAAAATGCCTTAATTTATGCGTTTACATTGTTGTTATTTAATTTATTGTATTTATCACAGTTTTCTGTTTACTTTGTTAATGTTATTTACATGCTTTCTTTGAAATTAAAACCAAAAAAATCACTTCACAAAGTGAAACCAAAAACAATAACAACAACAACAACAACAACAGCCGCTGTTATGCTAAGCAGAGACGGAAATTTTACTTCAAGCGAATGAAAATTTATTCATTATTCGTTTGCATAAATTGCTTTTGTTGTTGCTGTTGTTGTTGTTGCTATTGTTGTTTTGCGACTGCATTCGTTTTTTGTGGGACTTTACATTTTGTTTACATTTTGTTTTGCATTTGTTTTTGTCTGTATTAGTGTTTTTCTTACTAACCTTATTTACATGATCCCGCAGCACGTTTGAGTAAACCATAGCGACTGCCTCCAAGGCCATAAACGTGATGTACCCAAGTATCCACGGCACGATCAAGCCAGGGTTTTCCTGTAAAAAAAAAAAAATTACGAAAATGAAAATATAGTAAAATTTTTATTAAATTAAGTGGTTATTATTTGTTGTAAATATTTTTTTTTCTTTTACGCACAATTTTAATGCTTAAAATATTTGTTTATTTTTTTTATATATTTCTAAATAATTATTTTGAGTGGTTAGGAAAAAAACACTTTGGGGGGATACTTAGCAATGGTAACCAATTATAGAAAAAAATTTGTAATTTGTAAAACAGAAATTATCCGATCAAAATTCTGTATTTTCTGAATCAGTAGAGTGATGGCCGTTCTTTTGAATTTGATGGTTTAACAATTGGTTAACCGGAAACTGTCCAAATTTGGATCCAAACATGGTAAATTTTTACATTTAATTACTTACCTCAAAAACAATGTCAGGTTGAATGTAGAAATTTTGCGTAGTAATATTATATACTATATTATAATACATATGTTTCAAATTTTGAAGATATTCCGCCCGCTGCAGTACCCACTCCCATACAAAATTTTCATTAAAAATTCTTTTTTCAATTGATAATTGAATTACTAATATTAATATAAGACCCTACAGATGAGTTCCGTTATTTCTTTAATATTTCGGAATCGGGTGGTCATACTTATATTTATGTATATGTATTTTTGTAGTTAAACTAATAAAATTTAAATTAGACATAAATGATTTCGAAGGAATTTTTTTGGCATATGTATTATAATACAGCTATACAGTACACCAAATTTCAACTTTCCACCTGTTATATTTTTTGAAGTATATATAAAAAAGTAAAAATTGACCATGTTTTAGTCCAAATTTCAAAAGTAAGGCAAATTAGACTCAAATCAAATTCAAAAGAAAAGAAATCACAATAAATATGTATAAAAAAATTTCATCTCAGTATCTATACTGGTTCAGGAAATACCGAATTATGTTTGGCTAATTTCTGTTTTGTCACATTACGTTGTTGGAGTGCTACCCTTTCACATTAAGATTTCATATGTCAAGGTCAATATATATGTTTTATTGGTTGCAAACATGTCCAAACAATACTTTGTTTTAAATCAAAGAAAAAAATCTGCTGATTTTTCGTTTGCTTCAAGAAACTTATGATGAACATGTACAAAATGATCAGGTTTGCCATAACTAGTTTTAACGATCCAAAAATGGTCATTTTAATGTCAGTGACAGAGAACGTTTTGGTCAAAAAAGTTCGAAGATGAAGTATTGAAGTATCATTGACAGAAAACTCAGAACAAACAGAAATCGAGCTTGCAGAAAAGGTAAATGTCACACAAGCAGGTATTAATACTAAATGCTAACGTGGTACAAAAATGATTTAAGAAGAAGCAAAATGACTACCGCATCAAGTAACTGAATTCAATGATTTGCACAATACAAGATACGGACAATGTTATTTCTTATATCAAATTTTGACTGGCGATGAAAATAAGATTTACTACGATAACCCTAAACGCAAAAAATCATGGGTTCATCTAGGCAGACCATAGATGTTAATAGCAATAGTATTTTGTACTATGGGAGAAATCAGAAAAGAGTGGTGAACTAAAAGTTGCTAAAACTGAACGAAACTCTCATAGCCGAACGCTACCAACAATAATTAATCGATTTGAAATGTACATTGAACGAAAAACTTCCGATTTTAGTTAACAAACAATGTACAGTGATTTTGCTGGACGACAATGATCGACTACATGTCAAAAATACGTTAGACGCACTTAAGTAGGATATTCTACTGCATACTTAGTTTTGGCCAGATTGTGTGCTATCAGATTACTACTTGTTTCGATCATTCCCCTTTAAATGGGGATGAAAAATCCATAATATTCTTTAGAATGTATTGATTATTATATTTCCTGAATACTATGAATACTATTTTTATACTGTTTGCAATAAAAAAGTTATTTTATAATTGATATGAATTTTGCAATACATATTTATTTATTCTAATTGTTTCGAAGGATTTCAATTTAATATTAGGTATTGAAGGCAATTTTTAGAAAGAAAATGATCTATATAAATAGCAATTGATTGAAATGTTGATTTAGGAAAGGTTTATAGTTTATATCCAATTAAGATGAAACATATGGATAGTTATATCTGGGCATAACTAGTATGTCTTTTTGTCTTTAATTCAATTTTAATTTACATTAGTTTGGAATTCAATTGTGTGGGGTAATGTTCCATCAATAGATAAATGAGATGATAGGGTTAAATATATATACAGTATGACTACTGTCCGGAGAGTACATTTTGTACTTTTGTACATTTTGTGAGATTCCGAAGACTTTATGCTATTAATAAAGCAAGGTATATATTATGTACGTGTATGCGACATAATATTGTATTACCGATTACCAAAAACACAGTGAATTTTTTTTCTATTTAAAGTAGAATAGAATAGAGTTGTTGATTAAGTAAATAAAACAAAAATCTAATAAGCCTTACAATAAGCACAATACTAACATTAGATGTGAATGTATCTATAAATATATCTATAATAGCGCTTAAGTAAAGTTCCTACTGTCTCTACTTCTACTCGAAACCGTTATCTACTGCAACAATCAATTTATTTCGGAATCTTTAGTTTTTGTCTCACAAGAGGAGTTTTGCGAGTTGCAGTATTCACATGTCAGTAATTTTTTCATTGAGCACGTTCTTGTGCAATTTTTTCTTTTGCACGTGAGTACTCGAGAAATTTATTGAAAATTATTTGTGTCTTGTATGTTATTTTATTTAATTATAAATCAGGTTCTTACCAAAATAGACTTAAATAAAATTTACAGAAATTTTACTATGACTATCGAAACTCAGAATGGTTACAGTCTCCTCGGTGAGGTATGCAGATCTAAGGTCAATTATTGTTTAGTCTGATGAAGTGATAAACAATAATCCAGTCAAGGCGTAAAGATGGGTTTTAAAGATACCTCGAGTTAATAAAGATTAAAATTGCTCAAGTGCACTAGCTCAAATAGCTTTAACATAAATGGCTATTATTCACATCACCATTTATTCTAGGATCACATCCGAAGGAAGATTGTTGCTTCAATAAGTTGTTGAAGATGCTTAATCGGGGTAAGATGACGAAAAGTGATTAAAGGATCTGAAGAATGGTGTGGAAATCGAATACAGTACAACGACTAATTCAGAATGGCTTGCAGTTAAATTTGATGAAAGTCCATATAGTCTCTTGGAAGTAGTAAATTTAAAACACGTTTCAGTTAAAAATATATCATCTGCTAGTAAATTTTAAACAAATATAGTTAGTGTGCGAAGAATATTCAAGCATGTGCGCTCTAATTATAACTGTAGGATATAATTATAAAGTTTTATAAGAACAAAACTTTTTATGTCCCTTATTATAAAAGAATTCTATTTTGTGTAGGAAAGATTCAATAAAGAAAAAATTTATATATCAAAAATTTAAATTTTTAATCAAGCGAATTTCTAGAATGATTATACTCTGTTGTAAATACTGTCTATCATCATCTATTGATTTTATTATCTGTATGTATTTTGTTGACTGCAAGTGTAAAGAAGTAAATGCATTCGATAAGTAATTTTAAAATTTCTTGATCATTAGAATTAAACCAACTGTTAACTTTTTTCGGAAACCTTTATTTGAGACCTATTCCGCAAAGTTAGCAATTTGTGAATCACTTTTGCAGCTCTACTTTAATATTTCAGGCAAAAATGTTCGCCATCCTAAAAGCATTTTCTTTTATTGCGAGTATAGACTTAAATGAAAAAGAAATATTTCCACTGACAGTCAGGCAGCTATTAAAACTATTTTAAAGCTATTTATTAACGTGTTAAACAGAAGCTCCAAGATAACTATAATTCGGGTTCATGAACATACTGGTATTGCAGAGAAAAAGCATGTAGATTAGCTAACAATACTTGGTGTCTCTTTTATGGAACCATTCGTTACAATCCTTGCTTCTGCCAGTCACAGACAAAAGTTAATTTTGGGTCATTTTTAACGGTAGACAAATAAAAACTGAACTCATATTTTCTTTGTAGATAGGTAAAGAGCAACGTGACTCTTATACTTCAGATTTAAATCCTTCAGCTTGGTACATAGAAAAAATTCAATAATTTTGGGTTAATAGATATCTATTCTAACGAGACGCTGTAATATAGGACGGCATGAAACCAGTCTCACCCTGCCCTGTTAAATTTCCTGTAATAAAGTCTATCGGCGTTTGTAGAGGAGACTTCGGAGTAGTTGTTTCGCTTATGTCCATGCTAAAGCTTTTGGGTGCTCCACATTCTTGGTTATATTTTCAACATTAGTATGAGCCAGATACTTGTATTTCAGTTAATTTAGATAAAGTCGAGCCACCTTCTACTTAACTTAAGTAACTCCATGTGTGCCATTTTTCGCAGTTATATCAAAGTTTGACTTAATTATATTCATATTCTTACGTTTTCATTATACTAAAAACTGATGTATAGGATATCTTTAAAATATATATGTTTTTCCTTACAAATTTTTCTAATACTTGGAAAAAAAATATGTCAAAATATTAATTTATATCACAACTTATATCGTCAAAAAACTCAATAATTGTAATCAATTACTCAATACACTGTAGTCAATTGTCAACATAGATCGGTTCATGAAGCTATACTTATCACTTCGAGTAAAAAAAAGCTCTTTGTGAACATAAAAGAAAATTTCGTAGAATTTATACATACTATACACCAATAAATATAAGTGGAGGATTGAGTCATGGGTCGGCATAATTGCTGTTGGGACCACGTTGGTGCAAAGGTTACAAAATAAATTTTGGATGGTTGATAATTATTTGTATATATTATGATTTCGTATACTTTATATATATATGTAATTAACTACAACAAAATCGAATGTGAATAGAAGACAATTTTTGTGTCTTAGTGGTATTCGTAGGAATAATACAGGTTAGTATTAGATGTAGTTGATAGAACAGTTATTTAAAATTTATAGTGTAAAGTTTATT